TTCCTCATAACCTTTGATTATAATTCCATCTCCGCAAATTGTTTCACATTTCATCTCTAAAGGATTATACATCCATCCAATTTTATTGCATTATAAACATCCTTCATATGAACAGTTTGAACATGAATCCTAACAACTTAATTAACATTTAAAACATCCATCATATTAAATGATATTTCCATCATCGCATATTTCATTACTAACTAACATTCCATCTCCACAAATAGGAGCGCAAACATTAATCTTTGATTATAATGTGTAACCAGAGTTGCATTATATGCATTTACCTTTTTAGCATTATAAACAATTTGGTATACATGAATATTAACATTTATCACAACCATCATTTGGATTCTCATTAATATCATCACATTATTCTTATTCAAGGGTAATAATACCATCATTACATTTTGGTTAACAAAGATTATCTTCTAAATACCATCCATTTTATTCATCACATTTTGTACAAACACCAAATGTACAAGTAATACAATATTTTATACATTAAAATTTACAATTAAAACATCCATCATATGGAATTAAATTACCATCATCACATTCTTCATTATAAACAATTATATTGTCTGAACATATACTAAAACATTTATTTTCAATTAATTAAAATCCAGTATTACAATCTTCACAAATACCTCTTACACATATACTACATTCAAAATCGCAACTAAACTAACAATTATGGCATCCATCAAATGGATTATAATTTCCATCATCACAATCCTCTCCATCTACTACTATGTTATCTCCACAGATAGGAAGACAAGGCAAATTAACTCCATCATCATAAAAGCCAGGTTAACATAAGCATTAATTAAATGAGATTGATCTATGAAAATCAGAAACACATGTAATACAATCGCTCTATCCAACTCCATTACAATTTTCACAGTATTTATTACATGAAGTACATTAACTTCCAGAAAGATAAGTAAATGGATAGCATTAACATATACCATTTACTAAATAAAATTTATTTGTAGAAGTATAAGTACAAGATGTACAATCCTCTAAATTATTGCATGTTAAACAACCAGTTTAACTACATGTTACACAACTATAGATCTATGTACTTGAATCAAATGATAAAAATTAATTAGATAAGCAAGAGGAATCAGAGTGTCCCGATTCCCAAGTAATACATATTGTTTCACTAGAACAATCTTCACAAAATGGAGGGCACTAATTTTAATAAAATATCTTACATAATGAACAACAATAAAATACTCAGATATAGCACAAAATTCTTCTCTAAAATCTGAATCACCCCCTGTACATTATAATTCTAAATCTAAAGTATTGTCTTTAAAAGGATTTTTATAAATTTCAAAGTGTCTAATTCTCTCTTCTTTATTTTTACCAATAAAATTGTATCCGCTGCTAGGCTTTTGAAAAGCACTACTAGTTGATGTTCCAATTTTATAATAGAAGTTTCCAGAATACTCGTCTCCATAAGTAAGATTAAATCTTATAGTGATTGCATAGTGAGGTTTTGGAATAGACCATGATTTTTCATATTTTGCATCTCTCCATACCATGACTCCTCCTAATACAAATTTATTTGGAAAGAATGAAAACTTCTAACCTGTCTTTAGGTTATTACCAGTAGTAGTAACTGTAGTAAAAAATGATTAAACATCATTATATGTCATGTTTAAATCATAAAATCCTTTAGCTAAATATCTTGAATCTATTTTAAGTATTATTGTTACATGGTATCTTATCTGCATAATCTATACAATTAGCAGAATATACTGGACAACTACTGACACATCCATTTTAATATAAAATGTATCCTGATTCACATTCAGAACATTTAGAAAAATCTGAACAAATTTTACAGTTTTCTTTGCATAAACCAGAATCGATAGTAACATTTCTAAATCCCCATGATTCACTAGAATCTTATAATTTCCCTTAAAAAATTAATTATGGATTTTCAGAAAATGTCCTGAAAATTGCCTCAATTCTTATTAATGTATATGATTTAGAATCACAAGAATTAGAATCTGCAAAAATTTTAACAATTTTATTATATTAATATGCTCCTGAGATTTTGATTAATTCTCCTGATTATATATTATCTAAAAAAAATTAAATTTTGCTATTGGTTTAAAAATTAAAACAATAAAAAGTAACTCTTAATCTTATAAATTTAATTGCATTAGTCTTACCTAATGATAATTACATTCCTTCATTATAATATAATTCTCCAACAAAATCATTATTGTCACAATCCTCATAAACTAAATCAGTATTTTGATTGTGAAATATATCTGGAATAAAAACAAAAGGCTAATATCTAGGAGAATCAGATGAAGATATAGAGCTAGAATCAAAATATATTTAACTAGATTTAATTCTTCTATCAGGAACACATATATTATCTGATCTTGCTATATAAAAATCTCTTTCACATTCTTAACGACATCCAACTGCTGTTTGAGCATATTTATGAGAAGGATCGCATCCACATGTACCACCAGATGATACTGAATTATAATAACATGATGAACAAATATTAGAACTTGAACATGTTTTACAAGTTGGATAACAAATATTCACATATATTAATAAATTCCTAATAAAAACAGTATCTTCATCATCTTCTGGATCTAAGCAAAATGTGATTGTAAATTGATTTGCAGTGTTTGTAATTATTGTACTTACAACCGTATATAAATCAAATTCATAATCTCCACCTCCTGTGCATATTCTGTTAGATTATTAATTCAGGTCAGATGCTTTATAATGGTTTGTATATAAATCTATAGTAGATGAGGATGAGTCCTCTTAATAAGTAACATCTAAATCAGTATCCTTTGATGTATCAGCATGATTTAAGTAAGCATCAAAAATTACTTAAACTTAAAAACTCTGTTAACTAAATTATTTTTCAATTCTTTCCCTGTCTTTTCTTAATTCATTGTATTATAAGGAATTAGAAGAGCATTATCCCCATTCAAAATCTTCATTACAACTACTACTACATGAACAATCCTTTCTTGTTTTCCAATTATTACTTGAGACTGTTGTATCATAAAAACTTGAGTCGATTTGAATCCAATCTCCTTTAGTCAAATAAGGCAAAAATGATAACAAAATAAAAAACATAAAATATAATTATTAATGCCGTCATCTCCTGAAAGAAAATTAATGAATTATTTGAAGATTTGATTTTAACTTTGTAAGCATAATGGAAAATTAAACCTAAATCATTAAGATATTTTGATATAATATCAACTTTAATCTAAAAATAGTACATCATCAATTATTTTCAAACAAGCATTACTATATTATTAATCAATATATTTCATTAATAATATCATAATTTTTGCATAATTCAAAAAACTAATATGTATTCCAAATTTAATAACTTAGTGTATATATATTGAAAAATTATTCTTATACGATTTTCCGTTATATCATTATTATTTTCTCTTTATTCATCCCTAAGATTATTACTTTTATATTCATGTGATACTCTAATCAATATTTAAAGAACTTTTATGTTAATATAATTGTACTTAGAAGTGAATATATTCAAACTCAAATACTTTAAACAAGTTTTATATGAATATAAGTAATTAATCTTTCTATATTATTGATATCAGAGATCGGTATAAGGAATTGTCTCAATTATTTTGTAATTAATTAAATTATAATATATCTTATTCCCATAAAAGATTATTCAATATGTAATATAATGAGAATTATTTCACTTTTTATATGTATATTATCATTGTACTCTTTTCAATATGCAAAAAGAATATTAGATATTACAAATAAACCTTTTACAGCATTTTATATTCACATATTAATATTTAAATATATATCAAATTTTTTATTTTGTTAATTTCTAATGCAAATATTTTAATAATACTATTTAACTTTATTAAAATAACCTAAATTTATGCTTCATATATTCTAAATAAAGACCTAAAGGAAAATTTAATAAGGCAGAGTTTAGGTTTCTCATAATTGATTAATGATAATAAAAAGTATTATCAAATTTATGAAGATTTTGATACTCTTAATAAACAAAACACTTTTTAAAAAATAATCTGATTCAAAGGACTATCCTTTTATGATCTTTTGTTTCCTATTTATCCTATATTATATTGCAAAAGACTAATTTTTTGTTATATTACTATTAACAATGAAAAATTATCATTTCTTATTAAAAAATTGCTGAAATTTTAATTTAACCAAATTTAACACCATATTTAGTCTCAATACAAAATTTATTCTTTGGATGATGAATTATTTTCTAGGTTCTTGAGAACTTGATCTATTTTGAAATTTTTTTTATTAGTAATAAACATTTAAATAACTCATTAAAATATCTAATGGAATTAATTAATTATAATTTAGTTATTTAAGGAGGAAATGCATAATTATGAATTGCTTAATATTATTTTAGAATTATTGCATATTTCATTTCTCTAAACTTTATTCAATTTTAATTACTTAATAAATAATACATCAATTAAAGATTAAATGATATATTTAATATTAAATTAAGATATTAAAAATAATGATTCTAAAATTATATTGATACTTTTTATGGACATAGTCGTATGTAATCTTAAAATACCGACATTCTCTAACACATATACACTACTGATATATTAGAATTTCAATATATTAGTTATTAAGGAAATATAACATATAATGTGATATCATATATATATAATTTATTATATTTATATGATATTCTTAACTCCATACTGACACATTCGAAAAGTATGGGGTAATTTAGTATTGATATTGCTATAAAAATTAAATTAAACATAGTACTATAGAAAGTTAACAAGAAAATGACTTTAGATTTGCCATATAAAATAAACTAATGTCTAACAATAAAATCTATATAATAATTAAACCATACTGGATTGAATTAGAAAATAAAAACGAAAAAATAGTTAAGTGGAATTTTAAAATAAATGAAAAAAGTTTTGTTTTTATTGTGATTTATATTATTGAATCAAACATTAATGAATGCTCTAAAATCTAAACCATTTCCACTGTATAAGTATGGTGCAATAAATGAATTATCAGCTACTTTGACATGATATCCGAAATCAGTTGGATTACCAAATACTAATGTATTGGCAAATTAAGTTTCTTGAGCAAGTCTTATAAAATAATAATGTGAATTTCTTACTTGATTTAACCTGGTTAAACATTTTCTATTCTACTAATAATACGATTCTATTCAAAAACAACTTCATATGTGTTGTCAGTGTTTTTGAGTACTTGTCTAACAAATGGAATAGCTCTTTTAGCCTAAGTTTATATTAAGACATTTATTACTTATCCCTATTTAGCTAAATAGAAAAATGCTGCTGCAACTACTGGAACTGTTACAATTGTTGAGTAATAAGCATCACCTCTATAGAATAAATAGAGGAAATAACCAGCAAATACTCCTGCTAAAATTTAATATCTTAAAACATGGTGTTCTTATGCTTATGATTCATAAACTAATTTTTATCCTTTTTCATTAAATCTATTTTATGCAAATCCTGATTAATATTCTTTTTCATATAATTCTTATAAGAATAATTTGTAATCATGTCCATCTACATTTCTAGCATATTCTTAATCCTCAGCTGAAAATTGTTTTGTTGCTTTATCGACAGTTTGAATAAATAATTATTTCTCTTAAGTTTATTAATCTAATTTTTAAGCTACTTCAACTTCTGTTCCTTAAAGAGAATCTATAAATGATTTAATCAAACCAACATATCTAAATTAAAAGACATATATAACCTTCCTTAATTAAATTAATAATTTTGGAATATTGATTCAAGGGATTATGATAATTAGGCTGCTAATTAGGGATCCTTAACTTCTGCTTAAATTTTTTTAATGGTAGCTGTTGTTCTTTGTCTGTAAATTGATTCCAATTATTAAACATAGCCTCTAAAATATAATATAATCTCTACGGTGAGACTAAATTATCATAATGAATTCCTTCTAAGTAAATGCTAAACAATTCTTAGGCAGCTTATCTTCTTGCATCATTTGTGAGTTTTGCTATTTCTGGAATTTTATATTCGAGGGATTGTGCAAATTGTGTTAGTGTTTCATGACTTTGTTAAGTTTGTCTGAATAATAATTCTAACTTTTCAACGTGTATCTATGGATATTCAAAAAAGAGATTTTACTTTATAATCATTAGGATTTGGGAAATTTTAAGGTCTAAGCAATTAACTTAATTAAAATATTCCAGATAAAGTTGTCAATTAAGGAACTGCTAATCCATATTTATTTGACACTTATTGGAATTAAGCTATTTAGGCTTATTAAGCTGATGGATTTGCAGCCTCTCTTAAACATACATACTCTCTCAAGTATCGTAAACGAGTAGGATTGCATCTATTAGAGATTCCAAATACCCTTCTGAACATGTTCAAGATATTTAATTTAATAAATAATTGGATATTTAAGTTGGCAAATTTATATATTAATCATTTATTACTAGAAATGTTTCCATTACTTTGATTGATTATTGATGGATTGTCTTATGAAACATTAGGATTTTAATTAGCAACTGGTTGATTCGATTAAACAGATTTCTTGCTCATTCCCAATCCTTAAATCATATCACTAGGTTTCAAAGTCAGTCTTTTAGGTTACTTGGCTATTTGACTAGTTCGAGATTAACTACTCCTTGTTGCTCCACCTCCAGGACCTTAATTACTCACACTTTTATCATCCTAAATATTTCCATTTGATCCATTAGGATTAATGAGATGCTTTTTAAAATCTTTTGTATACTGTTACATTACTTAAATAGAATAAAATATATACCATCTTCATCTGGTTCTTCCTCTTCTTCCTTTGAACTTCTATCTGAATCATTAACTATTGGTGTTTCTTAATTAATGTAAATTTCTTCTTTGTATATTTCTGTATTAGGAAGAGTGAGATATTTTGTTTTTCCATAATCTGGTCTCTTTGGATGTTCAGTATCTTTTGATATTCTTGAAAGAATTTCTATTTTATTATCAAAAGATGAATCCGAACTAAAGCCATCACTATAATGTTCCTACTCTTATTCAATTAATAATAATTGAGCTTATAATTCTTTTTATTACTTTTTCTTTTCTCCATATCGCCTTAAAGTTTTAAAAGCCATATGAACAAATAAGAAATGTACAATAGGATTAACTAAATTCACTTCTTTTGATTAAACACCAACTTATTTTTTTTTCAATCTTTTTTATGTTTCATCTTCTTTTTATAGAATCTTATCAGCTCCTTCAGGACTTAAATTTACTTACACTTTCTTCCACATATAGGATTTCATAACAGAAAATAATATTTAATGATATTTGACTTAACCTACATTGTCGGCATAAATATTCATTTTCATAATTTAAGTAGAAACATCTCTTTTAGCCTTAGCTTTGAGAATCTATGTTTACTTTAAAACATTTTCCTTTGTATCTAATTGAGGATTGATTCTTCTCCATTCACTAATTTCATCATTTAATTTCTATTTTAAATCATAACCAATAGGTTTCTCCATATCAAGTAATAATGGTACTAATAATTATTAATTCATCTTCATTCCTTTGTCTTCTTTAGCAAATTTAGACCAAGATTCAATAAACATATTTTCATATTCTTAAAATTTATTAAGAGGATTATCACTATTGAAATAATTGATTTCATATTGATCCAAAATAATCAAAATAAATAAATTCAACATAATGTATTATTAGATTACAATAAAAACAATAAAAAATATACAATAATAACCTTAACCATCTTACATAGTATCAAACATAATTTTATACCAATCTTCTCCAGTTGAACATCTAAATAAAAGTTCAAAGGAATGATGGAAATCTGAAAAATTATTAACATCATCTATTGCCCATCCACTTCTAATGGTGCCAAAGAGAAACACACCTAAAATAGAGAAGATAAAGAAAACGAGAAATAATAAAGCTGTTACATTTAACATAGCAGGTAATGAATAAATTGCAGTTTCTATTAGTTTCTACAATCCTTCAAATGATTTAATTAATCTAAATAATCTTGTTACTCTAAGTACTCTAAATACTCTTGCTAATTATGGTCCAGCACTTAAAAATGAAATAAATGAATTTCCAGTAAATTACAAAATCAAATCCAAAATAGATGCACAAACAACGAAAAAATCAAATTGATTCCATTAATTTCTCATATATCCTACTGGTCCTAATGCAATAATCTTTAAAATTGCTTCAGTTATAAATACAAAAGTAAATGCAGTATTTAGTTATTATAAAACATTATCATATTCAATTGGAGAATCATCTTATGATAATCCCATAGTTACTATATTACATACAATAATCATTAAAATTGTTGGATCAAAATATCTATGTTTAATAATAATGAACACTTTAGCTCTAAAAGGATTTTCAGGACTAAAAAACATAGCTAAATTTGGATTAGCATGAACAATCAATTTTTATAATTCAATCCAATCTACTTATGGTTATGTTAAAATTTTATCTCTTGAAGCTTCTTCTGCTAAATGATAATTAACCAATATAACACCAATAAATAGATTCATCAATAATATTGAACCAATTAAAATAAATACAATGAAATACCAAGAAAATTATAATTAAGCTCCTTTAATTGGTCCTGATTCATCTGCATCAATAAACCAATACATTATATCTGGCCAACCTTCCAATGTTGATAATATAAATAATGTTAACATACCATTCAAAATATTATCAAAATTAACTTTTCTATTTTCCCAAACACCTCCATTTTATGAACATTCAATTGGTCCATAATGATAATAAACTTCATCATCTCCCATATCACAATAATTCATTTTATTTTTCTATAAATTTATACCTAAAATTGCAAACATCATCCAAACTAAAATTACAACAATGGACACATTGAATATACCATTAATTGATTATAATAATGCTGATACTAAAATTTTCATTGATCTATTATGAGTAATAAATCTTAATGGTCTTAATGTTCTGAGTAATCTTAAAATCTTTACAAAACTTAGATTAATTGTTGAAACACTTACATCAATAAATGATGCTATAACAATAAAGAAATCTAATATATTCCATGATTCTCTTAAATATGAATTCTCTTGTTATACAAATCCAAAAGCTATTATTTTCATAAACATTTCAACTCCAAAAAATACAGCAAAAAAAATATCAATCTATAATGATACTTCTTTTAATTATCCACTATCAGGAATATAAGTATCAAAAACTAATTTTGTTGATGTAAGAAATATCATAAAGAATATAAGTGTTTCAAATTTATCATCCTTAACTATTCTATAACATATCCTTCTAATAATGTTATCCTGACTGAACAAATATAATGAAAATTAACAAAGACCTGGTTCAACAAAATATTAGAATATTTATTATAATTATTTATGCTTTTTAGATTCAAGATCTCCATTATTTTCTAATTATTATGCAACAGTATTTTTTTTTGTTTTCATTGTAGATTTTAAAGTACTTGTTGAATTTAATCCTTAATTTGTATTATCCATAATAGAATCTTATCCAATCTCAATATTAGTATCCAAACCTGCCTTATCATTCTTATATTCTTCTTCAAAATTTTCTAATAAAATAGCCAAAAATAGATTCAAAAAAACATAATTACCAATCATAATCCAAAATACTAAATATGGTACTGTAATAAATGCAGAAACATCTTAAATCAATAAATCCCACAAAATACTATTCCAATTTTCTAATGTGAGTACTTAAAATACTACCAAAAAAGCACTCTAAATATCATCATAACTCTATCTACTTGGAGTTTTAGATAATTATCCACCAAAAAATGCCATACCTAATAAGGTAAAAATAAAAATAAATAGCAACAGCAAAATCATAATATACATAAAAGATTAAAATGCATTACCTAATACTTTAATTAAGAATCCCATAAATTATAAACTTCTCATCAATTTAGTAACTCTCAACACTCTAAATGCTCTGAAAATTCTAACAGATCTGAATGCTGATAATGAAGATTTCCCACTTGTACCTCCTCCAAGGAAAAAGAGTTCTACTAAACTTAATGCAACTATTATAGCATCAAAAATATTCATTGTATCTGAAATATATGTTTTTGGTCCCCATCCTATTACTTTTAATCCTAATTCAATTGTAAATAATATAGTGAACCCTAGATTGAATTATGTTAAAGTATCTGCACTACTATCTGGTAATAAACCATCTAGAGCTAAGATTACAGTATTTAATGCTACTGCCAAATTCATTGCTGACTCAAAGTATCCAGATTATACAAAATACAACAAATGGTTTTAACATACTTTTAAAAATCCAATAAATCCTTATAAATAAATAAATGTTTCTCTTTTTGAATAATTTAAGGCTTTCATAACAGAATTCATTTATTTTGCAAATTTTGAATCATAAAAAGTATAATCAGCAATTAATAATACATCTTCAATAGATGCTTATGCAGTTATAGCTCCTTTACTTTCTTCAATATCTCTTTATTTAATATCTTGGAATTCTTAGTAAAAAACTCCTCTTTATTGTTCTAATTCTGAAGCAGGAATAAGAGCTAATTCTTATTAATTAAATTATTTATCATTTTCGACTTAACGAATTCTATTTAAATCAACTATACAATCAGAACTTTCTATAAATTTCTCTCCTATTTATTAAAAATCTAATTTTTCATTTTATTCTTATTCTTTTTTTTTCTTTTTTATTTTAATTTTTTAACTTGCACTTCCATTAAAATTATTATTTTTTTCATTATTTTCTTCAGGTTCATCATCAGAATCCGAATTTTCATTTGCATTTTCTTAATTTTAATCATCTTAATTTTCAAAATTCTTATCTGTTGGAAATTATAGATCTTCAAATGGATGTAATTCATCCATAATTGGTTATACTCTTCTTAAACTTAAATTATTTTTCTTAGATTTCATTCCAGATTTTAAATAACCAGATTTAGTCATACTTTTACTTTTACCAGAACTAGATTTTTTCAATTCTAAAGATTATTTTGAATTTTTAAAACAATATGTAATTTTAATATCCATTTCTTTAATTTTCTCTTCTTATTCTAATTTTTCTTTTTCCAATTATAATAACATCTTAGAAACTAAAACATCATTTACACTACAAAATTCTTAATCAATTATTATTATTGGATAAAATTTAGTATTAAATAGTTTAGATTTCAATTTTAAAGATGCATCATCTAAATGTTATTAAGCATTTTTATTTAAATCTCTTAATCTTCTATTTTCCATTCTTTTTTATCTATTAAGCTCTTTTAAATTTTGTTTTTTTTTCTTTTCACTCTCTGAATCTGCATTCTTATCTTAAACAAAAATATCCATTTCTTCTAATCTTTAATCAAGA